TGCCTGTCCATGATGAAAATATGATCATATATATAAATTATTTATTTTTTTGTTGTTCATTTCTTTTTTTTTTTTTTTTTCAAATTATAAAATGATTTTAGGATATCCTTTTATATATTTGTTTTTTTTTTTTTTTTTTTAATTATGAAATAATTGTAGGATATCCTTTTATATGATTTTTTTTTTTTTTCTTTTTTTTTTTATTAATATTTATATATTTTGATATACATAATTATGGATAAGTATCTTTTCTATATATTCTATATATAAGGAAAATATATGAAGTGGCAAGATTGTTGAAAAATATTAATACAAAAAATTAAGAAAAAAAAAAGAAAAAGAAAGAACGAAAGGAACGATTAAAAGGGAAAAAGGAAAAGAATAAGAAAAATAAATCATTTATATGATATATATGAATGATTTATATATATTTTTTTTTTTTTTTTCTTCCATTTCGTTTCTATCTTAATTTTTTTTTTTTTTTTTTTTTTTGATGTCCCAATCACTTTTAAATTTGCAATGAGGTTAGTTATGATACTTTATTGTTTAGCTACGCTTTTCAAATATTTCGAAAGAAATGAAAAAGGCTAACATAAATATGATCCTTATTATATATATATTATATATATATATATATATATATGTGTTTCTTATTTATATAAAATGCATATCTTTATATTTCATTTTGTGCTATTAAATATCTTGATTAAAGTTTTTCAATGTGAATAAAAAGTTTATAAATGCATGCATACATTTATATATATATATATATATATATATATATATATATATGTTCATTTATTTTTATATTTTTAGGAACATGAAAAAATCGGTAATTTGAAATCTTTACTACAAAGAATCTTTAAAGATAATGATAGAATTATCGTATTTGTTGAAACAAAGAAAAATGCAGATTTTATTACAAAGGCGTTAAGGTTAGATGGTATGCCAGCTTTATGTATACATGGAGATAAAAAGCAAGAAGAAAGAAGGTGGGTATTGAATGAATTTAAAACTGGTAAGAGTCCTATTATGATAGCAACTGATGTAGCTTCAAGAGGATTAGATATAAAAAATGTTAAATATGTTATCAATTTTGATTTCCCTAACCAAATTGAAGATTATGTTCATAGAATTGGAAGAACCGGAAGAGCAGGTTCTCATGGTGCTTCTTTTACATTTTTAACAGCAGATAAATATAGACTTGCAAAAGATTTAGTTAAAATATTAAGAGAATCTGAACAACCAGTACCACCACAATTAGAAAAAATATCTTATTCTATGGGAAATAATCAAAGAAGAAATCCTTACTATAGTTCTGGGCGTTCAAACAATGTAAATAACATACCACTAAGAGGAAATAACAGATTTTACTAATAATAATATTATTATTATATATATATATATATATATATATATATATATATATATATATATATGCATGTATTTAAATTTATATTTAACATTAAGAATTAAAATGAAGAAAAAAAAAAAAAAAAAAAAAAAAAAAAAAGTTGAATATATTTTAATCACATATTATATAATTTTTTCATTTAATTGTTTTAATTTTATATAAACAACATATGAGTTATGTAATTATTATGTGTAATCAATATTATAATGTATTATATATTATATACATGTATGTTTATTCAAATTTTTGTTTTAACGAAAGAAATAAAAAAAATAATAATAAAGGAAAAAAAATTTTATATTATTTATTTATATGTTATTATTATATACATTTATGTATTCATTTATTTTTTATCATTTTCCATATGTATCATTTTATGTTTATAATTTTTTTTAACCAAATTGTATACTAAGAAGAAATTTAAATTTTTTTTTTTTTTTTTTTTTTTTTTTTTGGTTATTTTTATTATATGAAATATATAATATCATAAAATATATATATATATATATATATATTTATTTATTTATTTATTTTATTTTTTTTTTTTTACATATTTTATATAAAAATATATAAATTCATGTACAATTCAAATATAGAATTCATATAAATTAAAAATAATTATATAGTAGATCGTAATAATAATACAATATATATATATATATATATTCTTTATTTTTTTTATATATTACCATATTTCATTTATTCTTTTATTTCCTATAATTTAAAATACATAATATTTAAAAAACTAAATAAACTTTTCTAAAATAAATATGTTTGAAAATAAATATGAAAATATAATAAAAATAAAATATTATAAATAAGGTTTACCTTATGAAAATCAAATTTATATTTAATATGGCATATTAATATTTATAAAATATAATGTATTCATAAATATTATAAAAAATAATTAATTCATATGTATATTAAATTTATAGATATATATATATATATATATAATATCATTTTAATGCTTTATTTTTATTTTTTTATTTTTTATTAAATAAATATATTTGAGAGGTACAGATTTGGCATTGAAAAATATACATAGTAGAATAAACAATTAATTTTAAAGCTGTGAATGGTGTGTGTACTTACTACATAACGAATCAATCTTTCGCCTTTTACTAAAGATTGCCGTGTAGTAAGTATGTTAAATACAATATACCACAAATTTTTGTCGCGCCTATTAAGTTAGGTGCTTCTAACAAAACCCCCCCATTTTAACAATTATAAATTATCAATTTTTTTTACATGAACAATTTTAAATAAATAAAAAAATATTTATACATAAAATATATAATAATATATAATATATATATTATTAATATAAAAATAAAAAAAAAAAAAAAAAAAAAATTAGAAAAAATTAGAAAAAATTAGAAAAAATTAGAAAAAATTAGAAAAAATTAGAAAAAATTAGAAAAAATTAGAAAAAATGAAGAAATATATTTACTATACCTATTTATTATAATATATATATGTAAATATTTTTCTTATCTCTATTATATAACATTATGTATATATTATTTATTTATAATATAAATAAATATATATATATAATATAATATATATGATAAAAATAATTTTTCTTGAGCTAGCTAAAAAATTAATATTTTTTTTTTGTGAATATGAAAAAAAAAAAAAAAAAATATATAATATATATATAATATAATATAATATGTCACCTTCAAATTTGCCGTATAAAAAACAATATAATTTAAAATTTTTTTATAAAAGTTGAACTGACTTAGGTAATGATAATATTTCCTCTTTTATATTTTCTAAAATATCATCCTCTTGGGATTTTATTGTAATTATTTTTGGAGTAGGTATGCTATTATATGATATTAAATTAGGGCACATATTTATCCTATCAAAATTATTATTTTTTATTTTGAATGTATTATTTGAGGCCTTATAATTATTCTCATATTCATGAATATTTTTTGACATACATTTATTTATATTATTCATATTTGTTGATATAATATTATTATATAATTCATAATTTTGTGTGACTTTCGTTTTCAAGCCTCTTTCATATAACCTTATATGTTTATTCCAGTTGTAAGAATTTATTCTTTTTTTTCTTTCATCACATTCCTTCTTAATTTCTTGTTCATCATGTAGGGAGAAATTAAAATTGTTTCTATGAAATCCATTTCGGAGTTCATTTTGCCATTTTTTTTTTTTTTGAAAATTACTATGAAGGCAGTTAATAAATTCTTCTTTTGGGATTCCCAATGGGGAATTATATAAAACATTATTATTTAAAATATTATTATTTAATATTTTGTTGTTTCGTGAAATATATCGGTTTATTCTATGTATAGGTTTTGATTCATCATACAATTTTTTTCTTATCGTCATATTATTATTTGCCTATAGAGGAACAATAAAAAAATAAAAATGAAATGATATAACATTTTAATAATATATATATTATATATTTTATTATTTTTTTCATTTATATACTTATCACCTGATGAGTACCATAAATTTGATATATCAATTCCAAATATTTCTCATCACTTATAATGTTTTTTTCATTTCTTTCAAGTGAACTAAATTCATCATTATCCATATATTCCAAGATGTTATTATACATGTGTTCATTATTTTTAAAAATATTTTTTATATTCAATTGTGTGTCTTTTATTTGTTCATTTTCTTTTTTTTTACTTTTTTTTTTTATTTCCTTACTACATTCTATATCTATATATTTATGAATATTTGGTTGAAATGTATATTGAGTGATATCTTTCCACATATCTTCATATTTTAATATGTTTTTATCTCTTTCTAAAAATTTTTTTAAGATATATACAGGATCATTATATAATGTTCTCCTTTCATGTATATGTCTGTAGGATATATTCTTTCCTTTTGCATAATTGATTAAATTATTCTTATTTAGATAATCTTTTATTTGCTTATTATTTTTTTTTCTTGTATGTTCGTAATGTACATTTTTCCCTTTTGATAATTGTATTATGGAATTATGTATTATGTCATTTAAGGTGTATGAATGTTTTATATGATCATAATCTTCTTTCAACAAATAATCATTTTTAATAAAATGTTTGCTTTTCTCTATATTTTCATAAGTACTATTTTTATGTATACTATTTAATAAGCCCTCTTCCTGATGTTCATTAATATATGTTTTTTTTTGAATAATTCCATTTTTTTCATAAAATGAGTATGGGTATATATTTTTGGTTAGTTCTTTATTTGTATTTTTTAGTATATACAAAAGAGTTTTATATATTGAATTATTATAAAACGTTGATGATGTTATTATTTTTTTATTGTTACATACAATATTTATGATTATTTTAAAAAATGCTTGTTTGGATATTAAAAGTATATCTCTACATTTTTTCTGATACATTTGGTATTTACTGTGTATCCCTTGATTATTTTTTATTAATAAATTCAAATCATTTTCATTTGTAATTCTTTTTAATTCATTAATATTTTTAAGTGTTTTATAACTTATATTAATTCTTTTTTCAAATAGTATATTCTCCAATATGTGTTCATTATGAGCATTTGTAATAAAATGAGGTAGAAGCTTTTTTTCAAATATGACTTTTGCTTTTTTATTTAGGAATGTATATATTTGTTCGTTGAATAAATCTATAGAATTTTCTTTTTCTACATTTAAAAGATTCCACACTTTTTCTATTATATTTAAAAAGGTTGTATTATGAAAAGGAATAATTGTTTTATCTACCTTCTTTATATTTTTATATTGTGATTCATTTTCCATTTTTTTTTTTTTTTTTTTTTTTGAAAACGAATGACATATATTTCTTTTGGTCTTTTTTTTTTTACATCATTACAATTGATTAAAATAGTATTATTTAAAATATGAAAAAATATAGGTCTATAAGGTTTCATGTAGCATGTACATATCATAAATTTTGTTTTTAACTTGTTTGTTAAAATGAAGAATTTAAAAAAAAAAACAAAACAAAACAAAACAAATAATGACATTTATGATAATTTTTCAAAGTGTCTAAACTGATTATATATATATATATATATATATTTATTTATTTATTTAGTTGTTTATTAATATAAGTGCAATTTTAGTGCTTTTTTTTTTTTTTTTTTTTTTTTTTTTTTTTTGATTGCAAAAGAGAAAGTACCAATATATATACATATACATTGGTTCTTTTTTTTATTTTGTATGTACATATCATTTGATAGTCTTGAAAGCTTAGATAACGGATAATGATACAATATATATAAATATATATATATCAAAAAAGAAGAAAAAAAAAAAAAAAAAAATAAAATAAAATAACGATAATATAATACAATATAATATAATATTTTGTTCTATGTAATATTTCTAATCAATATATATATTTAATAATATTGAATAGTGATACATAGATATATCTTATTCTTTCTTATAATAATTTATAATTTATAAATTTCTTTTCTTTTTCTCATTTTATTTAATATTAATTATAATGTTTAATGTTTCTTAATTTTCGATTTTGAACTTTAATTAAAATGAAATACTAATAACATAAAGACAACATTTTTAAAAAATATAAATAAATAAATATAAAAATAAATAAATAAATATATAAATATATATATATATATATATATATATATTTAACCCCTTAATCTTAAAACTTATAGTGAGTTATAGAAAAGATCCGATATGTGCAAAAATAAACGTCACATATATAAAGGCAGTGTAATAATGAAAAATGAAAAAAAAAAATATATATATATATATAAACATAAATATATAAATATCATATATAAATGTATATTAATTAAATTTAAATGAATTATTTTGTGTGAAGTACACCACACATGAATGTGTTAATTAAATAAATAATTAAAAACGTAAGGAATAAAAAAAAAAAAAAAAAAAATACATACATACATATATACATATATATATATATATATATATATATATATATATATTCTTTTGAATATATTCATTTTAATTCATTTTTTATTATACCTTTAGACGGCGTCATTGAGTACAAATTCTGTCAATAAACGCACACCAAAACCTTTTGGTTTTCTAGCTTTGAAATTCCATGAAACACCAGCAATATCAATATGTGCCCATGCTGTATTTTGAATAAATTCTTTTAAAAATAATGAGGCCACAATAGATGAAGCTTTAACACTTGATGAGATATTATTAATATCAGCATATTTTGAATTTAATGTTGCTCTGTATTCATTAATAATTGGTAACCACCAGACTGGTTCGTTTGAAGTTTTTGAAGAGTTTAATATTTTGTTGATAAGTTCTTCATTATTACCAAAAACACCAGCATAGCTTGTACCTAATGAATATAGCATAGCACCTGTTAGTGTAGCTATATCTACAATATAATCAACACCTAACTTTTCAGCATATACTAAAGCATCAGCTAATGTTAATCTTCCTTCAGCATCTGTATTACCAACTTCTATTGTTTTACCATTTGATGCAGTAATAATATCACCTGGACGATAGGAATTTTTAGAGACCATATTTTCACAAACAGCACTTAGAAAATGAATTTCTACATTATCTGGTTTAAGTGTACCTACACAATAAGCACAACCTAAAACAGCTGCACATCCACTCATATCAAATTTCATTAAATCTATCATAGATCCTGGAGCAGCTTTTAAGTTGTATCCTCCTGAATCAAATGTTATACCTTTTCCTACTAATGCAATTTTTTTTTTGACATCTCCTTTACTTTTATATGTTAAATGAATAAATTTGTTTGGATACATACTACCTTTACCAACAGATAAATAAGCTCCCATTTTTAAATCTTCAAGTTCTTTTACTCCTAGAATTTTACATTCTAAATTTAATTTTTGAGCTAACTCAACAGCTGCATTAGATAAAGATACAGGATTACAATAGTTGGATGGTGCAGAAATAAGTTGAGAAGCATAATAAGTACCAAAATAATAAACACGAGCTTTTTCAACTTCTGCATTATATGTATCAGCATTGTTTATATATACACCTAAATGTTTAATATATTCCATATTAAGATTTTTATCTGTAGATTTGAACCTTTCATCAGTCATATATTCATAAAATAATGTTTCTAAAAAAAAACGGAATAAATTCTTATCAACATTAATTTCAAAAACAACAGTCAATTTAGAAAGTTTATTATCATGTAACATAGAAACTAATGATA